ACAAAATTTATCGCTTTCTATTCATCAGTTTATCTCGTCCCATCATAATCGTCACCACCATCGTCATTGTGATCATACTACCGTTGAGAGTATAAAGGCAAGAAGATATATCGGCGTGTTAACATGAAAGAACAAGTCGTGTTAGGTCGGCTTAGTCAGCATACGACTGGTGATTTGCACTTAGTTTAATAATAATTTTTGGCGTGTACCTCATATAAATGGCCTCTGGTATAATTACCCCGTTTTTGGCGCCAGAATGTTGTCCCAGGGAGTCAGAGGACCAATTACTCCCCTTTTATTTAAATAGCACGCGACAAATTTAATACTTGTATAACGATCAACCGAAGACTTTGAAGGAACAAATAGAGATGCGTGGCTTGCCCTACGAATTGTAGTTAACATTTCGTTACGACTTCAACTGTCAAATGTCATTTCACATTTAGAACAATCAATCTATTTGTTTTTCAGTTTGACTGTTTCCTTAATCAACCAATCCAGAAATAAATGGGTCTCTATACATCAGGTAACCTTCCCACTTCACTGAAGTGGGAAAGTTACTGATGTATAGAGACCCACACTGTAAGCGCGAATCAACGGTTCACATTGTAAGCGCGAATCAACTGGTTTAAAACACACCGTAAGACTCTGCATCAATCAAAGAATATGGTAAAGCAAAGCCAATGTAATCCTGCGCTACTTTCCACCCCCGAAAAAGTGTATAATTTCACAGACAGGTTTTCAATTCGCGTTGCACTGAAATAAACTAGAGAGGGTGAGCCATAAAATAGCACGATGTCCAGGAAACCCATTATGTCATTCCAATTTACCTGAAATTGTAAAGACTTCGACTTCATCTGCTGGTGAAGGAGATCTCCACATTAAATATGAGCTGGGACTGGAAATTCCACTGATATCGAAGACACCACCAACATTGATTCCTGTTGTGACTTCTTGGTCGTTAAAACAAAGCTGGTCTTGATCTTCACCCCAACATGGTCCTTTGGACTTGTCACTCCTTATGGCCTGGTAGGTTTTCTCTTTAAGTACGGTCAGCTTTTTCGTAGGCTCATTGCCGACTGGTTTTAGACTGAAGAGGAAAGCTTTATTTGATGGAATAATTCGTGCTTGATTATAGCCTGCAATGAAAGTGGGAGAGTTTTGGAAATCCTCTGTAAAAGCACTGAGTTACCAAATTTTAATACTTTTATAAGTTAAAGTAATACAAGTACGTTTATCAAAGATTCCCGTTTAAAAATCAAGAAATTCTGGGAGAGAGGAAAGAGAGGTTTCTTGGGAACTTAAGCACAAACTTTTTTGAGACGAATATAGAGGCCGGAAGCTGGTAGTTGTATCTTATCTAGAGCTTGTCGTGGATTTTCTATCTGTAGCGGTTACGCTTATCTGTCAATTGCGCGATGTCAGAGCGCGCCCTAGGAAATGAGTTGACCCTCTCGTTACGCCGTTCGCGTCGCAAAAACGCGTCGAAAGTTTCTATCAACCCTCCATGTTCTTTGTTGTTGATTTCCATGGCGTCAGCTTTTTTTTTATGGGATGAGGTTTTCAGCCCCATGCCCAACCCTTCTCCTTTCACGTCCGGGTTTGGGATCGGCATAAGCAGTTAAAGAGTTAACACATAAAAATCGTGCGTCAGAACCTATTAGCAATGTTGGCATCAACCCAAGAGATTGCCGAATTTCTGACCGCGCGTGGAGTATGAATACTAAACGACGACATCATACATTAAATACTTTCTTACTTTGCCAGCTATGATCACTGAAGCCGCCAAAGAGATGGTGACCCCTTCTTGCCAAGGTTACCGTCGGGCCTGCGTTATCGCATTTGGCATGAAATACTTCTTTTGACCAACCATCCTTTGTGCCTCTATAACATGGAGCCCAGTACTTCTCACCAAATTCTACCTCAGAAAGCCACCGCATCAGCTGGTCTTGATATTGAAAATTGTGACCAATGATATTCGACTGAAAACCTGAGAAATGTGGGAAATGAGATAAGTGGAAATCGATTGTAATGTTTCTTTTACCTGGATCAAACTCGCAATAACAAAAACAATAAAACACGTTATCGAAACACAGTAACAAGGTTGAGAACTATCCTCCGGATGAGGGTAATTCTGAGAAGGACTTTTGTAACAACGGGAATTGACGTTTGGACAATCTGAGGAAAAGTCACCGTCAGAGTCCACCAACATCAAAAACAAATGTGTTCATTCCAGTGGCGGATCCAGGGGGAAGGTCCGGGGGTCCGGCCCCC